TTTTATTTTTGAAATTAAACTAAATGAAGTCTTTGATTCCGACTAATTGTAATGCAAGAGCGACACATACACACACACAGACAGACTCTTGTTTCTTCTTGCATTTGATCAAAATTATAGACGACTATAAATAAAGTTAAGAGGAGAAGAAGAAGAAGAAGGAAAAAAACGGTTAGCTGCAACTACACAACAACTCATTTATGCGCACTCAGTATTAAATCAGCGGCAGTTTCTCCTTTCACTTTTCGGCTTGTCTCACAGGCTAAGTATAAAATCGAAAATAAAGCAGAAAAAAAAATATTTAATACTTTGAGCAAGGTTAAAAAAGTTCATGTATCGTGCATATAAACAAAATAACAACGATTGAACAAACACAAAAAAATAGATATAACTAAATAGCAACAAAAACATACACCGTCCAACACACACACACACTCACATGAGCACCGTATCATTTGAATTCTACGCTAAAATATTAAAATTTCACTTGTAGACACGGCCGCTCACACAAAATGATCGCGTATTTCCCACTCGTGTCATTTTATCGGATCAATCATGCTGTTCGGCATTTAAACTAAATTGACGACAATAGTATCAAATGGCTGCATACATAATTTCCAAATCATTCGTTCTGATCTACTTCTAAAAATGTAAATAGCCGGAGCTGCGGCTTTTAATACATTATTGACGAGCTATTTGACATTTTTTTGTTTCTGCGATCGATTTTTTTTTCTGAACTGTGTGCGACGAGTGGGAAATAAATGTCACTATGCCTTTAAATTGTTTTTTTATTCTTCTATTACTATGTTTGAGAAGTTTTGAGAAGTTTTTCGCACACATCAAAATCACCGAAAAAGTCACAATCGGTTTTGCTGCCGCGGTTGTTGTTGTTTTTATTTTTGGACATACCATCTGGTTACTGCTCTTTGTCAAAATGAGTGAGTGAGTGAGTGGAATGAATTGAAAACCTGTGTTCTTCACATTCCAATGAAACCAATGGTTTTTGCCATTTTTGAACATACCGGAACAATAAAACGATACACTTTGATCGAATGCTCGCACGAACTCATTGAATTCATGCGTTTTATACATATTTACAGCCCGGAAAAAAGACATCCGAAAAAAAAGCGTCCAAATTTTAAAAGTCACATCATTATAACTGTCGCTGTTTTTTTTTCATCAGGTCTTTCGACATTTCATTATTACGGTGAAAATCCGTTATTATTGTTCTGGCTTTCCCCTTTCATTATTGTGTCCACCACGCACTCGGCCACTCGATTTTCTTACTATTGTTTTTTTTCTCTTGTTGTTGTGAACTGGTAAATGGTTACGCATCGAATTGGAATCATTATTTTATTGAAAATGGGCCCAATAAAATCTAAAGACATTAAAACACAATAAAGAATTGAAATCGTTTTCAACCATATATTAATAACAATACTATTGATAGAAGCAATTAAGCGGCGTATCTATTGTCGGAAAGAAGAAATAAAATCATCATCATCATCAGTAGCAGCAACAAGAGATAAATGCAGCCGAATCCGTTGAAATGAAGACCGAGTCAGTTAGCGCACGCATTCAAACACGCATGGATAAATTAAGCGAAAGAAAGAAAGTAGCAAATCGAATCAAAAGAAGCAATGACGATGCGAATGAGAGAGAGAGAGAGAGAGAGTGAGTGCGTTCACTTGCTCGCTCGCTCGCTCGATTCGCAAGTCGCACAGGCTACACGGGCTACTATAAATTTCCATGATGAAAACAAAGATCAAACGAAAGTACTTTGCACAAATATTGTGAACTTTTAACAAGGTTTACCTTTTTATTACACTTTGCACCCATCGTTTCGTCGTTTTTTCAGCTGCTTTTCACGCCTTTGCTGCAAGTTCCGCTTTCCAGGGTCTGAGCACACTTAATTATAATTACGATGGAGTTGAAATGGTAGAGAGAGAGAGAGAGAGAGAGAGAGAGAGAGAGTGTGTGTGTGTGTGAGTGAACGAAAAATCTCCCACTTGTTCTCTTTCTCTTGAATTAAAACTGAACTCGTTCGTTTTTAACTGTTGGATTCTGAATTTGGTTTTTTTTTCTCGCAAATTTTCATTTTCGGGTGTTATGCTTTCGAAAATGCAGTTTGCTTACCAATAAAATGTCTACGACAAGCATTAAAAACTTTATCCACCTTCTCAAAATTGTGTTCATCGCGGCGGTTAAGTTTGTCTATCGCTGTTCGACTATGGAAGAAACGGAAAAAACACCAGCCAACAAAACCATTCTCATCACATTTACAAAAGAAAGGAATTCTCTGAATAAACATAATAAATTGGACGCTTTTGACAATCACCGTCCGAGGGAAAGACAGACAATGCTGACTGAATCACCTTACTAAAGGTGCAGAGTGTGTGTATGTGAGAGAAAGAGAAAGAGAGAGAGAGAGAGAGAGAGAGAGAGAGAGAGAAATACGAACAGCAGTAGTCACTAATTACCAGTCCTGCCATTCTAATATGTTCATCATTTATGAGTTTCGTGGTGAAAATCTCATGAAATATTTACAGCCTCTCTCTATCTATTTCTCTCTTCGTTTCTCCTGTTCTACGGAATAATGTTTCTGTACAACAAAACAGCAAATCATCGGTTGTAATTGACATCAATCACTTTTTTTCTTCATTGTCATAAATTGCAAGCGTTTGCAGAGGAAAAACGCGGGCCAAGAAAGGCCATCTTATGAAAAAAAAAATCAATGCCCTCATCAAATCGTTTTTCATTTATGGCTTGTGTGTCTTTTGTGCACAAGAAAATTCATGCATTACACAATTTCATTTAAACTTAACCGATTTCCATCCACTAATTCTATGCTATTATGGGCTGTAACATAATTTTTTTTTTAAATGCTGTTTAGTAAAACATAAGAATCGTATCAATTTGTATATTTAAATCATTAGCTCTAAAGCATGTAACTGAATTCAAGACGAGAATATCAGAAGCAAAAGAAAAAAACTGTGTGTATACACATTGGTAACATTGAATTGAAAAGTACTTCATCTGGGCTGCTTTGGTTTGTTCTTCATGTGTTCAAAGTCATCTCGTTATCCAAATACATCTCTTGCCGAGTGGTTTTGTGAAGGATTTTCACATGAACTGGCAGTCAAAATTGAATAAAAAATGCGCGTCATACACGACACGCCAATGGTCTTGTGTGAACAAAAGCGCATAATACATAATAAAGCAGCGTTTATTTCTATACACCATACCACTTTACCCCAACGACCATACTCTTTGCAATAAATACACACTCACACACCTAGAGAAGGATAGATAGATGTGCCGAGAGCAAGAGAGATCATGAGCCATGGATTTATTATGTTTATCTTGGGTAATAATGCAAAGCATAATGGCACGTACAATACTTGTTTTGTGTACACTGTACATACTAAACTTGCACTTGATCAATGCATGCACAAATCGACTCGAATCACAATTTACGTGTGTTTCTGTGTGCGTGTGTGATTGGACGAGATTTGGAGAATTTAAATTTTGATTGTGAAAATCGTCGGAATGAACCAAAAACAATGCAAGCCATTGATTGTTGAAAATACATTCAAAATAAAAACAATTTGACTAGAGAATTTATATGCGGTGTACGGGGAAAAAAATTTGAAAAATTTCACTAAACGGTAAGAGATGAATGTGATAAGTAGAATTTTTATTACAGTCATTGTTTTGTGGTGCACACAAAATTCATTCACACTGAATTCATTCATTCAAAAACGCGAAAATGCATTCAATTCCAATTGGAAATATGTGTGATCTTGTAATTTACATGTTGAACTGATGAAATAAATAATTATGCATCAAGTTGTAATCACGTCTTATTTGAAATGCGGAAATTGATTGCACCCAATGATGAAACATCGAATCAATTTTTTTTCTTCTTATTTTCATTGACGCTTCTTCCGTTCGAATTTTGCACGATGGTTTTCGAACATCGCAAACATTTACTCGGAAATAGAAAAGAAAAGCAAAGTCATCCCGTGTGCAAATAAAATGACTAACAGTCACTCAGTTGTATGTAACTATATGTAGTGATACACAACTAAAACTGGCTAAGTTGATTGAAATCATACGTTTTGTATGGAAACAATCACGTTTAGTTATTCTTTCAGTCAGTCGACTAATTTGGGACATTTTGACTAAGAGTGATTTGTGATTAAAGTCAACTGCAGTTGCTTATTTTGTTCGAGACAATCACTTTTAGTCAGTTAAAATGTCCCAAATTAATCGACTGAATAATCAGTCAAAAATTTTCCACACGGGATTTGTTTTGTGTTCTTGCCGCTGATAATAATAATTCAAACGGCTGCCAATGGATTATGAATAGCACGAAAAATAACAGAAAATAAAAACCCATCAGTTTTTCTTCGGCGCGCGAATAGAAGATAAATGAAGAGAAAAACAAATGAAACAATATAACGACATTATCTGTTGGGTGCACGAAAGTTCGGTCACATGTATGAGTTTGTCGCGCATGTATAGCAAATGTTTACGTATGTGAACATGTTCTGCGAACAACAACAAAAAAAAAAAAACAACAACACTCAGCTTCCCAAGTAAGCGGCGCATATATACGGTCGCTATATATATATATATTTTTTTTTTTAACGTTGTTTCGTTTTCTTTTTACCTGACTTATAGACTTTCATTTTTTAACGCAATGTTACAGTTTCAAGAAAACCATCAAAGATGTTGGTTCAGTATGCTCAAGAGCACAACAGATGCCTAAAATGTAAAAGAGTTTACGGTTTCATCGGCCCGCATAGCGAAATAGTCTAACCGCTTTTTTTTGTTATTATTTTTGTTATTTTTTAGTTTGAATTGTTTGGTTTTATTTCTTATTTATTTTTCGGCATTTTACTCTATCGTCATCAACATTAAGTTGAAAATATTCGGTTTTCCAGCGAAACTGAGTGAAAACGATCTAAACAAGACACACACACACACACACACACACACACACACACACACACACACACAATCGGCACGCGCACACAAATCAAACCAAAACGAGATTAGAGTGCGTGAACTTCAATGACCGCAAATTACCTCCGGAAAATGTGCGCACTGATAAAGATCAATTACGAGTTGGAAAAATGTGCGCTCTGTAAATAAATAGTGTATTGTATGATTTTCATCGTTTGAAGTGGTTTATAAATAATAATTCACCTGGGACTGTGTGTTCGACGAAACATCAAAACATTTTGAAAATTTATAAATGAACCCTATCATCTGTGGTGAAAAAAAGAAGAAGAAGAAGAAGAAAGAAAAATCAACAAAAAATACCGTGACCATATGACAATAAACTATACTTTATATCCGCAATCTATTTGTATTGACGGACATTTTAAACAAATGTTATTTGCACACGCCGTCTTTTTTCCCCTTCATTTGTCGTTTTTGTTGTTGTAACGAGGTAGCAAACCGTAAAAAACGACAAGAAGGAGATCGAAAACGTACACGTTCATTTATCGGTTTGTTTTATCGATACTCGATATATCACCGTCTATTGCATCGCAACATTGCCATTGACTTTTCTTTGGCATTTTTTTTTTATATCATCGTTGAAACATTTTAAGAACATGCCATTAGCCATTTCGAATCAATTGATTTGATTGAACGGTACTACGTGTATTCAGCGTGCTTCATCTTTTATTCGGGTTGTCATACAAGTTTTTGCATAAGTTGACAAGTTTTTTTTTAATTCCATTTCCGCGTTCGGAGTGTTATTTTGTGGAAAAGATCGATAGGCAGAGTGAGGAAGATAGATAGAGAGATCAAAATGTACGGCTTAATGAAAATGTATATGCTCTTCATTGGTATGTATTTTAAATGTTAATATTTGTCAATCGAAGAATTAAATTTAGAACATAAAGAGAAACTCAAGCAACACACACACACAAATAAGTTGGAGGGAAAAACCAAATCTCCGGTTTATAGAGACTTAAATACCATTCTGTTAAGGCGATACAAAGCCAAACAAGACTTAAATAAACTTTGTATATATTGGAGAGAAAAAAAAATTAAATCCCAGATATGTCATTTACATAAAGGAATATCGTATTTATAAACCTGTTAGTAGCAAAAGGTTAATTCGAACATCAAGCGCATACACACACACACAAACAAAATATATGCATGCTGCAAAACTTCCGACCCCAAGAAGTTTTGTTGAAAAGCTCTCTCTCTCTCTCTCTCTCTCTCTCTCTCTCTCTCTCTCTCTCTCTCTCTCTCTCTCTCTCTCTCAGATGCTTTGTTTTTTGTTTTGAAGTTGCGATGACATGGTATTTTAAATAATAAATGCGGTGTGTCTAAAAACCAAACTTCCGAAAACGTTATCCAATTTACATTATTAATATTATGTCAATCAAATAAATAAATAGAAAAAAAAACTGTCGACAATTGAAAATTCGTTCGGCACGACAAACAGTCTCGTCCATATGCGCACATGTTCCAGCTCATTGGTTGGCAATTTTCTCACGTCATTTTTTGGTTTTCACGTTGCCTTGTTGTTGTTGTTGTTGTTGTTGTTGTTGCTGCTGCTGCTTTTTTTGTATCAGTCGGCTGTTTTTTAGTGCCATTATTCCAAATCCCTTCATGGCTAATTGTTTTGTCATTCTTTCTGAAGAAACGTACAACAATCGCAGTTGAAACCTTTCATTAAACCGAGTCAATGTAACTGGGCCGCATGTACTCTGGAGCAAGAATGAGATAGATAGAGTGAGTGAGTGAGAGAAAAAAAAACTAAAGCAATTTTCACATGTCAGGCCGCCGTCAACTGGTTGGGAATAAAATGTTTCTATTCTTCAATTGAAACAGAATAATGCAACGCCACCGAAAAAAAAACAGTCTCACATGGCGAAACCAAATGTGTGAGATTTTAAGAATTTGGCCGAGAAAAAAAAACAACAATGATAGAATCAACAACAATTGCAGCATAACGTGTACATATGTTCGTGAGCCTACCTATATCAGTATGATCGGTTTTTCGATGAAAAGTGCAAATATCACCATTTCAACGTAATCGAAATTATCATTTGACAAATTTTTGTTCATCAATTAGTAAATACCTACCAGTGTTTTTTTGTGTGTATGTTTCACACGGAATAACGTGCAAAATCAATGGAGAAGGAAAAAAAACTGCTAAAATGTACGCTGAAACATTTGATTTCCATTTGCACATTTGAAATAGTAGCAATATTGGCTTTTGCATTGATTCACTGACAAACAAATCGCATATTTTATAAATATCCATCTCTGTATGTGTAGTTTTGGATGTATTTGTAGATGAGAGAGAGAGCGCGAATAACTCAACGCCCCCCCCCCCCCCCCCACATCACGCCCACGCTAGCGGTGAATTCATTTTCTGATAGCATTAGAATAGAATTTTGATCGATGCTATAACAAACAGCACACATAACATGTACACACAACATCACGAAAAACATCGAACATATTTATATGAAAGCAATGCAATGTATACTCTATTTGAATGCGTTGATTGGATTTGGTATCTGCTCGGACTACTGATTGTTGGCACTCGGTGAATGCTGCTGCTTCCGCTGTTGCCTTCTGCTGAGAGCGTGATGGCATCAGGTAAATGATTAGTGTGCCGTTGGGTATACAGCCGTTATATGTGTGGTTTCAACTGCTGTTTGTGTGGTAGAGAAAAAAAATTACCGAAGCAATTTCGGCATCGATCTACTTGCATTTCGAATTATTTTGTAAGCACATTTCACACAAACCAAACGGTAACAACAACAACAGCAGCAGCAGCAGCACCAACACACACAGAGAGAGCAGATTATAAAAAAAAAACTTGATAATCGCATTATGAATTTTCAACTCAATAGGCTTTTGACACATTATGTGTAATTATTGCATTGGACGCTTTTTGAAGAAAAAAAACCGCATGCAATTTTTTTTTCAATTCTCGATCAATTTGGTAATAGCCCGTTTTTGGTTACTGACTCTTTTAAATTTTAAATGGTTGTTGTTTTTTTTTTTTTGATTCGTCGGTTTTCTGGTTTTTGTTCAAATGGAAAAATTCTGAATTTTTAATTTCAACCAGAGAGATAGGGAGAGAGTCGAGCTGTGATTGTCAGCGTGCTCGTATGTGTCCAAAATGAAAAGCACAACATGTATAATTTGGTGTGTTTGAAGTTAGCAGCAAATATACAAATATCGTTGAATCTTTTGGATTCATAAAGCATTATTGGACTGCTCACTCTCTGTGCCACACAATATACAATGTGCGATGTGCGTGTGTATTCGCACTCCACTCTCTCTCTCCTCCTCATGCAAACGTTATGAAGTAGACGATTTTGCGTTAACAAATATCAATATGTACGCAATTTTCGCATTGTTATCATTGTTATTGCTATTATTATTGCCTGGAGACAATGCTGATCTGCTAAAGATTAATTATGGAAAACTATTAGAACAATGTATGGAAATAATGAACGCATATATATTCATCTATTATGTTTGCTTTGAATCGATTGTATGCATTCTCTTCGTTTTCTCATCATCCATCATGAAATTGAGCAGCATGAGCTGGTGAGGTATTCGCTTTGCATTTGCCCACCATCGTCACAACGCTATCGTCGTCGTCATCGTCGTTGTCGTTGTCGTCGTTGTCGTCGCTGTTGCCAATGCGTACAATACACATCGAGATATCGAGTAAGAGAGAATTTGTTTGTGGCTGCCGCCACCGCCGCCACCGCCTGTAATTTGTATACCTTTTATGAAGTCATCATCACTGGTATTTGTAATCTTTTGCGCATATCGAACGATAGCGACACATGGAATAACAAAGAAGCCATTCCTTTCTAAATCGCGTCATTTCCCTCTCTAACTCCCCCCACACCAGCCATTTTAGTTATGGCTTTAAAACAAAATCTCAGAATTCGTACGAAAGCAGTACCCGTCAACACGTCAAATGATTGTTATAGATGTATGCTTCATTTGTAGAATGAATAGTTGTATGTTGTTTTAATGAATTTCAGGTTGCACATCATCCACTTATTTCACTTTCGACAATGTGCGAATGCACTTCGAAAGTTTGTTGACAAAATGATGTGACATATTTTACACACCTTCGCCACTCCATTCACTTTATATACAAATAAGTTGGAAAGACGACGAAGTTTGGCTGAAACCAAACTGCTTCAAGTATTATCACGTTATCTAAGCTTCACTTAGCACGCTATCTAAGCAATAACGCACTAATATATGTATATGGCGTTTGATAAAACTGCTTGGCGGTGTTTCATTTCGTTTCGTTTCGCTTAAAACCAGGCATCAAATGCGATGGTTTTTTTTCTACTTCAATTTCGACCAATTTAAATTGGGATACCATTTTTCAACATGTCTCTTTATATGGGCAACCAACGGTATTTGATTGATTAATATCGATTGAAATCAAAATCTAAACATTATCGTCGTTGATGTTGTTGTTTGTCGTTTCTCTTCTGGCACTCACCACGACTCTTCTCGTGACGGTCATCAGTATTATATCAACGAATAACCGAAAGAAAAAAAAAATCAATGTCAATTTCAACATCTCTGTTTCGCTGATAGTACGTCGACAGGTGCCAATTAGTGAAATATCGTGCTACACAAAACCATTTTTATCGATGTACAGATTTCATACACTCAATCGCTCACCCTCTCTTTCTCGATGTTTATGCCTCTATTTCTCTCTCTCTCTATTTCTCTCTCTCTCTCTATTTCTCTCTCTCTCTCTCTCTCTCTCTCTCTCTCTCTCTCTCTCTCTCTTGAATTCGATTTGGTTTCGTTTTGCTATGCGGAAGCAAAAGCAACGGTAGAACTAGCATCAAAAATGAGATTTTTGCATAATTCATGAAAGTTTTATTCCATTCAGATAAACAATTATCGCAAATGATTCACAGTTTGACCATTATAGATCGAAACAAATGCTGAATGTTGAATGTGATAACACTTCACTACTGAAATGAAATGGCTGAACATGGATATATAAATTCATTTTTGGTTTTTACTGTTTTTCGGTTCGATTCTTCTGTTGCTGGAAATCTGTCGGAAATTGAGGCACATTGCAAACACATTTTCATCGAAGCAACGAGAGTATTGGTTGGTGGGGTTATGTAAATGAGGAAATGGTGTGAAGGATTGAAGGCAAGTTTTGAAAGATGTGAAAATCTGTAATTTCTATCGGTATCCCTTGACATTCATCTGCCATGGACTGATTCTCTTACCATCAGTCCAATTGATCAATCATACAAACCGGAATCTATTTTCATTTTCAGTGAAAATACAAATGATTCAGTCGTGCGGAATGTCCAAGAATCTGGATTTCATTCACGAAATTTCTTCGGATTTTACTTATGGCCTTATGGAATTCTTATCCAAATGATAATTTATACCGAGTGATAGAAAGATGGGAGCGAGGGGAAGAGATGGAGAAAATATATCCTAATTATAATTGATATTGAGAAAATGTTTCAATAAATATACAATTCCGAAAAGAATAAAATTGAATGAACCAAAATCAATAATTAAATAAATTGTGAGTGCATTTTCTTGTCGTTTAGAAAATTGCTCAATTGTTTTCTTCATCTCTTATTGTGATTAGCTTCGAATCTGAACTGAACTGAACTGAACTTTTTAGATAGCCTATTAAGTTCGACCACTTTACACTGTCTATTCCACTTGTCCGTTCGTCGGACGTTGTATGTGTGTGTGTGTGTGTTTTCCTCTTCTTTCGCTTTTATTTTATAAACATACAATAGTAAATGCATATGGAAACACAGCTAAAAATTGTGAATGCATTGAAATTTGTTTGTTGGTTTTCGGATATTCCATCTCACTGTTTTTGCCTCTTAGCATTTCGCCAGAGTTGCATTAAATTTTAATTTCATCCTGTCATCTAATGTATACATAGTCTGTGGCTTTTTGCTACAGTCTCTGAAATGTATGCTGCTGCTGCTGCTGCTGATTCTGCACGGCATTCAAATTCGATTGAAATCACAAATACCAGTGCACTGAAAGCGATTCGTTGTGAAGTGCGATGCAAAATCACAATACAAATTCGTAAAAATATTTTCGTAGAATGTACGAATACATCGTATAATGTACAATGGTTTTCACGCGATACAAAACTATAAATGGCTTCGTAAATAGTACAAATATTTATTTTGAGTGTGAGAGATTGGGGTCTGACGTGGATAACATACAAAAAAAAAACTCCACCGTAATCAATAAGTTTCTATGACCAAGTGAATTGTCACACTGTACATGTATGCATTGCATACATCTGTCTCCTCCGCCACCCGGTGCCAAACGTTAAAGTTTGTTGTGCCAATGGTGTCTACAATCTCATTTCATGAAACCAATTCCAAAAATGAATTGAGAGTGAGGAAAACAATTCAACATCCATGACAACACATTCAACATTGCCGAAAAAGCCCCGGTAAGATGCGCTTAAATACAATAATTGCGCTCATATCAATTGCACGTACAAAGGATTTTTGAACAAATACATTGTTTTATGATGTATTTTATTAATGAACTGTATGTATCACATAGAAAATCTCTCTTAGTTTTCCATCTCTGAAATAGCCATGTATAGAAAATTCGGCATGCAACGGATTCATAATAAACTCAACATGGCAGCCTGAGAGTAAGAAAAAGTGACAAATAAATTGTTCGATCATGTGACATTCAGTTGATTCAAATGACATGTTAATTAATTGAACATACTTTCGTATTGTCCCAATCGCCACACAGCGAGAGCGACAAAAAATAATAATTGAAACAAAAAAAGAATAACATCAAATGTATTTTAGTTTTTCTTTTACCAACACAAAATACATTTTAGTTAATCACGGCAACAAATAAGATGGAATTTTAGAAGAAGAAAAAAATTGGTCTTAAAATGTGATTATTGTGGTTCTGTGATATTGGGTACAGACAAAATTCTAAAGAAAACATTTTGGATTGCACATTTTCCATGCCATCGAAACATATAACATAATAATATGCACTCATGATTCGAATTCGATGTATGAAAAAATGATGCCGGCCATAAACTTGTTTGCATTCCATTGCGGTTTGCATTTTTATTTAAGTCACGTTCACACCTCCACATACGAACAACTAACTAATTATTTATAATGACACAAACAAAATCCTAACCAAATTCATTCCATTTTTTCTACTACGTGGAACCAACAACAAAAAACATGCACACACACAAAATGGAGAAATGACAATTCAAATCAATTTTTGGTTTCTCTTCTTCATTCGCTCGTTTGTTTGTACAACGGTATCATTTTCTTTTATTTGCTTTCGGTTTTTGTTGTCCCGGCTATTGTTTCTGGTCAATTTTGAATCAGTCCATACAAAGAGACCAATACAAGCCTCAAGCTGACCTCTTACGGGCATATTTGTTGGTGAACGATTAGTGGTGGTATGCAAAAAGAAATAAAAAAACAAACAATACATGCTGATTCGGAATTGAATATAAAGGAAATCCTTTACTATGCATGATATTGCATATGGCATGCCATGTGTAACGTTCAAAAGCGCTAACTGATGCTGACATCTCCTGAAGGTACGCTAACCAACGGTGGACACACAATCAAATATTTTCTCCCTGTTTTGTGAATGCTGAATTTTGTGCATGTAGAGTTCAACCAGTTATTTGATATGCAACAAACAAATGAACGATTTTGTATCCTCCGGCCATTCCGCATGCATATAATTGGTTGGCAGTTGGTTTTTTTTCACTAACCGTTACCACCGCAAATGTATAAATGTATGCACTATTTGTGCTTCTGGTATGAATTTTCATGAATTTGCTGCGATTTTTCTGTTCATTAAAATTTACACAAATCTATACACAATTAAATCATTTCGAAAAGGACAACAACAAATACGGTTGAAATGCAGAAACAGCAGCAACAGCGAGTAGAAAAAAAAACGTTGAAATGCCGCATGATCGTGTTTCACCAACAGACATTTTCCGCATTCATTAGAATCACAAAAATCACATTGTGACAAAACTATATTCCAACTATATATATATATATATATATATATATGTGTGTGTGTGTGTGTGTGTGTGTGTGTGTGTGTGTTGGGCTTTCTAATTCTAATCAATGTTTTCTTTTATTCAATAATTATTAATATATGTTTTGTTTTATTCATTTTCCACACCTTCTCTTCACTCTCACTTCAAGGTTCAAATATCATAATTGTTGCATCGATGTCAAATTTTCACAGTGAGAAACACAGTAATCACACATCAACGACAGCCGAAAGTGGTGTATCATTCAATAGAAATGGTCAACGCAATATTGACACAGCGGAACGAATGCGTCGCCTAATACCATATATGACATTTTACATACCGACATCAAGCAGAGAATATCTTCCTACCTCCCCATATGCGCCCGTCAACAAACCAATGGTAATTAAATCCCATTTTCCATATGAAGATGATACACGCACAAACATACAGTGTAAACAAAACCAAAATCTTAGCCGAAAACCACTAAAAGACAAAGACAAAGACCAAAACTAGAACGTTTCTGGTATTTCGGATACTCTCGCCTACAAATATACATTATTCTCTAATCTTAACTACTGTAGTGCATGTGTGTGTGTGTGTGTGTGTGTGTGTGTGTGTGTAGAGAATGTGTCCAATTGAATATTTGTATTCAAACTGAAGTGCTTAATAGCATGTCTTTACAAAAGCAGCATTTGGCTTGAATGGAAAGTTTTTGGTGAAATGCACCAAAAAGATACACTTTCAACATTTCGGTTAGTTTTGTTACATGCTGTTTTCCTGAAATATAGCCCAAACAGCCTAACATATTCAGCAACATAAATACGCAGCAAAATGAAAAATTATTATATTTGTTTGGCTTTGTTCGCTTTATTTTGTACCATATTTACGCGATAAGCATCAAGGTATCATTGATAACAAGCACAGCGATCATTTTACGAAATTAAGACGTCAAATCTGAGCTTGTTATATATACATATATTGTTTGTTTATTAACAAGAAATCAAAAATTCTATTTTCAATATTGCAGAACCCTTATCTGTATCATGAGTCAGCTACATTACCAACGAATCGAAACAACGCACCACAGCATTTATATTTGCCATCTGCAGACGGACCAGTGATACGGAAACCATCGTCATCATTATCATCATCACCGTCAAGAATTCCAACTTATAATGTTGACGATAAATTGAAAAAACTCACGAAAATACCACAAAAGATAACAAAAAATGTATTTGTAACACCGTTAGTCGATGTAGTCATACCACAACAATCGTATCAATTAAATGGTGAAGTTTATAACAATGAGGTAAGTTTGTGAAAAACAATACCATCAATAGTACATAGAGACTATGTCATGTGTGTGCTACTGTGCGGTGGCGGCGTCGGCTCCCGTAACGATGCCCGATGTCGTTTTTGTTTTCTCTTTTGAAACAGTGTCGAAAAATTGTTCAGCCACACCTTAATTTGTTTGTAAATTTTTGGATTTTATTTTGTGCTGGCAACAACAACAGCAGTTCTCATTTTTTTTTCCAATCCACAAATGCCATGTCTCGCTCCATGTATGACACGCACAAAACCAGAATTTTGTATGTTACTGCAATTTTGCGCAATGGCCCTTTATTGCAGCTTTATCACGATTTTTATATGCATATGTACACATATACTGAGCATCTCTGTATGATAAACAAAAGGGAAAAAATCTGCCACCGCCTCTATCTCTATCCACATTTGCACAATGATCAAGCTTGTCACGATGGCTTGAAATTATTTTCCAGATTACATCTTGCATCGATAGAGAGAGAGAGAGAGAGAGAGAGAGAGAGAGAGAGAGAGAGAGAGAGAGAGAGAGAGAGGGAGACAGTGAGAGGAAAAAATGCGACTTTATTTTCTATTGTGTTTTTTCTCCCTACAAAGCAGCAGGCTGGAAAACAATTGATTCGGCCAGGAGTTTATTTAAATGACAACCGAGGAGGTAATAATTTAACACCATTCTTAGCATCAAATCAAGTGCCTGGACCATTTCGACCGATAATCACAGTCAAAAATTATACGCATGATTTTCCAAACAACAACAAATTGAATAATCCAAATCACATTAGATACTCAAATCTAAAGGAGTCACTACCGATAGCGTTGACACACAATCGACAACAACAGCAACAGCAACAGCAACAGCAACAGCATCAACAACAGCAATACGTACAGCCACAGGTAGATCACATCGCACTTAATACATGAGAGTACAACATAAATTTGCATAAAAGTTTCAAATTTCATGTTGTTTCACATCTATTTTTGTTTCTCTAGCCCCTGCCACATATTCAGACATATTATGTAGCATCGACATCATCGACGGAACAACCAATCGCCAACAATGGAATTGATGACTCAATCCAACAAGTGTATTTAATAGAACCAATTGTTAAACCAGAAATTAACGGACAAAAGACCATAATCAAACAAAATTACAACGCACAACAAGGACAACAGCGTTACAAACAGATCCCAAACACGATCCAAAGCACGAAAGTGACAAAAATTAGGTATAGATATAAAATGGAAAATACAAAGCATTTTTTCCTTTCGTTGATGGTTTGATGTGATAATTTTCGATTAAATTTTATATTATTCGCCACAGTTATGACCTAGACCCAGACGATGGATATGGCGGAAGAGTACTTCTACCATATGAATCTTATTATACAAAAGATTATAAGAGTGTGCCACATATTCAGTCGACAGTAGAACCGACCTATTTACAAAAACCGACCGTAAAACCCCTGAACACCGACTATGATTATAAACTCGATGAGTCGATTAATGGCTTTGAACCGGCTGTGTCATACGATCCTTATAAAATATCGGTAACAGAACAACATACTCATCAACACTTAACGGAAACAACTCCAGTCATACAGCCGCTACCATCGAAATATTTCCATCCAAATAATGTAACAACAATCGAAAAAAAACCATCGTTGACATACAGTGATTTTATTCCAACAACCAGCCCAAAACCATTACACGAAATACTACACAATATGAATAAAACGTCACTTCAATTGCTTCTCACAAAACTAAAGGAAAACAATTATTTACCGAAAACATTTACAATGAATAAATTTGACAATTCACTGAAAACACTGTCAAAAGTGTTGGGCGATTTGAAAAAAACCCAAAAACTCGTTAAAAACTATGAATATCCATTCGCATCACAACTGGCACCACATCCACCACAAAAATTGCAACCAATCATCAAAGGGAATTACGAGCATATGAAACCGATACAACCCATTAAAAACAATCGTGGTAAATATTTTAACGCAGTGTTGATTTTCTTCTCCATTATCACATTTTTTTGTTTTCCATTTTCAGTTCCTGGTTCAGGTAAATTGTAAACCATGTTTGATGAAAGCCTTGTTAATTGTATCTATGCATGAAATTTTATTTGATTTTGATTGAATTTAGTTATTAAATTGGATTTTATTCGATATAGGTACACCGGGTATTGATTTTCCGGCATACAGTGTTATACCAAAGACAAATTTCAATTGTTCGGAGCAAAGATACAAAGGATTCTTTGGTGATCCGGAAGCGGGATGCCAAGCCTGGCATTATTGTGATTTAAATGGTGGCCAAGCTTCATTTTTATGTCCAAATGGAACAATTTTCAGTCAGGTATGTGTAATATCTATCATGAGATGTTTTCCTTCAATATTATATATGCGATGCATATTATGCGTCTCTCTTTCTTCTTTTGTTGTGTTAAAAATCCAACTTTAAGCACATTATTTAATTGATTGTTTGTTACGCAAACTGAAATCAGAAATCAATTATCATATCCCATATTTGTCTACATATATCAGGTGCTGTTAACATGCGATTGGTGGTTCAACGTAAAATGTTCGGCAACCGCACAACTTTATGTACTCAATGAAAGATTGTATAAATATATTTTACCATTAAATCCGAAATTCCCAGAAGACTATAGTGGCCCATTGGTCGATAAGTAAGTATTTGAAATGGTTTTGAATATGTGTTACCAGCTCGCAAATTGATGAATGCATTTTACTTCCGAAAACGAATAAAAACTTGAAGGAGAAAGAAAAAAATTGGAAGAAGAAACTCGCGAAAAGCACTTTTTATATTTTCTATGGTTTTATTGTCAAAACATCCTATGTTTTCCCCTTGCAGATATTTAGCCATAAAATTCCAAGAAATGGAAGAAAAAATGCAACGAGAACGAAATAAAAATCGAGTGAAGAACAATGAAGATGACGACGATAGTACAGATATTACACCAACGGAAGACACAACTCTAACCAGTGATACTGATACACTACAAACCGAAACAGTATCAACGGTAAGCGATACTTGTGCCTGTGCATTCAAATCGAATATTTGTGGATTCGTAATAGAATGAATGTTGCTGCAGCCTTTTTTAGACGTGAATTTCGAGTAGTGTTGGATTCGAACGTTCATTCGTTTGTTTGACAATTTAAAAACAAAATTTTGATTTTTGAACGGTCGAACAAGCGTTCGAAAGTGTTCGACGACCAATACAACTTGTTATCGACGCCTAGAAAAAGGCTGAAAGAAACATACGCCCTTTAACGTAGATATTTGCTTAGTTAAAAGAAGAAAAAGAAACATAAACGTATTAAATGTAAAATCAAAATGACTTTGTCAATTAGGAGGATCCATTGATCATAACCGCTGATACCGAACCAACAACGCCGGATCAACGAAATTATTATCAAACAACGACATTTATACCACCAATATTGCCACCATTGCCACCGCCACCAAAATTCCACGTGGAAAGTGAACGTGCCGAAGTGATTGAAATTCGTTCAGATGGCTCATCCGGACACTTAATCCCTGGTCGAACATAATTAATGTTCGCACGCCCATTATCCCGAGTCACATAGAGAAATATTTAAATCAATATTACATCATAATATATGGATTAAGTGTAAATGTATTTAATATTGTTTAACAAATAATTTTCGAATCCAGTCCATTGGCTCATTAATTTTGACCGAATTGAATTTAATTTGTATTTCAAGACCTAGAGATGGAAAAAAATGAATTTTAATTTTAACTCAAGTTATTTAACAAAGTTAATTCTATTCCTTTGAAAATTTTAAACGGCTGGTGCACTCAATTTGTGTGTCTTCAAAGGGGACGCGGTGGGGAATATGAACTGTACTTCTTTCAATGGCCAAAATATTTCCATATTTTCTGACACCGTTTGAGCGCTTGATAAAAATAAAAAAAAAGATTTGGAGCCTCATATAAATGCATAAAAAAATTAACTAAAAAAAATACAATTCAATGTTGCCGCATCACTTTAGCATCAAACCAAAAAGAAATAGAAAAAAAGATGGAAATCTCTGTATTGGTCGGCTTGGATGAGTGGTATAGCTCAACAGCAATAACTTGTCTCAACAGCAATGGATTAATTTATCGCTTATATCCAATGAAGTAAAGATAAATTAATTTTGTTATAATTTAAGCTTTTGTTCAATGTATATAATGGACAAAATTATATGTTTAATGTTACGAGTGTGCTAGTTATATAAAGTTTATTCACAAGTAATATCTACGCACTCGTACATAATGAGAAACAATAATAATAACAACAATAAAACATTGTGATTTTTGACTTATTTATCGATGGTCAATAAAATTCGACAAATGAAATGCATCACGTTGGTTTTCCTTATTTCGCTTGGAATTGCTTTAATTTCAGAGAATCGCTCACTCGATAAAGAGAGCGACAAAGAGATAGCGAGAGAGAGAAAGAGCGAATCAATTTGTTGTCCATAATTACGGTTGTTTGGTTGGAATTGAATAAAAACGAGGCGTCTCTTTTAAATTAACATAATGGTTATGTTTATTATATATTAATCCATAACATGACTGTAATAATTGAAAAAAGATTTAGCTTAATTCATTTATGATACATACATAATGAAATATTCGGTACATAAAATCCACTTTATGATGCCAGTGTGTATGCAATGGGCTGCAATACACTGTGTTATTTCCAGTTTGGCCAATCTATGGATCGTGCGTCGTTTCGGCATCCCAGCGCTTGGCAAGAGAGATTGGGAGAGAGCGAAGGAGCGAATGAGAGAGAGAGAGAGAGAGAGAGAGAGAGAGAGAGAGAGAGAGATGGAGAGGGCGAGTTTGTGATAGTGAGAGAAATGGAAAGAGCGAAAACGATTGATTGTACAACTGATGGTGCAGCTTATTTATGTACTCATCATAAATATGATTCATGGCGTTGAAGAATATTCTACTGTTGGAAATTAATGCAGTCAATAAAACGACAATGTTTGCATTCTAAATGTTAAATATTTAATATGGCTTCTATTTTTTCTTCTTCTTTTTATTCATCTTACCCTTAAAGGTCTGTTCTTAACATTTGTAACACTCATTGAATTTTCTGGTTTCAAATCAGTATTGTATACCTATGAAATACGTCTATTATGTGTTTTAAGTCGGAAGTGCAGTGTTTGAAATGCCGTGTCGTGCAGCAACAAGTTACACGAAAATTGCTGGCGCCTACGTTCAGTGTCAACGGTTGAATTTCTTCCGATTACACAGTAAGTGGAAAAAGGGTTGACAATTTAATGGGGGATATGAAAGACAGCACGCAATCCAACAATAACTAATGCAGGTGTCTGCGGACCAGGAATGGGTAGAATATATGTAAGAGGGAAAGAGAGAGAGAGAGAGAGGAGCAAATAAATGGCTGGACATAAGAAAACAACAAGGTTCATTCGTTATAAACTTAGAATTTGTTTTGTCTTGTACCTAGACTATTTAATGAATCAATCAATTTACAATCGTTACATACTATATCTATTTATTTTTTTTTCCAAAGGATCCTTCACTCTCAAAAAAATCACTAAAAAGAAGGAAACGATTACAATATTTGCATTTGTAATAAATTGTTTTTTTTTTGTTGTTGTTTTTGTGTGTGTTCGTTTTTCCACTTTCTCAATTTTGGCAAAGGGCTAAGAAATGTCCCATCTATGTGATTCTATATTTTGGTGCATATTATGCAATTGTCCGATGCACGTACAAAAACGAAAGAACAAGAAGAAACTTAACAGAAGAAAACAGTTTGCGTGAAGTTGAAGATGGCTAAGCTGATTATAATCGACATTAGTAGGAATCGTCGTGTGTGTGTGTGTATGTGTTTGTGTTTGTGGGTGTGCTAAATGTGTGTGTTTTTGCGTTGTGGTGTGTAGAAGTGTTTCACTTTTTGTTTTCTCTCTTTATTGTAGTTGTAGTTGTTTAGTCGGTAATTGAAATTTGCGCGTAGCATATCAACGCTTTTTCATCGGCTGGCTCACCAGGTACATAGGCGGACACCAATAAAAATGTCACAGTCTTTAAGTGATTTCGGTTATCGATTAATTTTTGTAAATTCGCTGCCATTACTTGGGTATCACGGCCATCAACCAGACCGGCTTCAACTAATTCCGATGCAATACCTTCGGCGGTATCTTTACCAACAGCAAACTCAAAACGAATGTCATGCAGTTCACCTTTTTGATTGCGCATCCGTAATACCAGATTGATTGGTGGAATTTCCGATGAGTTTTGCAGTTGAGCTGCACCGCCCGATGCAATTGTCAACTCCGATTGATCATCATTTTCACTGTCCGATGATTCCACTTTGATTAAGCGATTCATCGGGCGATTTTCTTCGTCTTCCGAATCCGATGAATGTTGTCCATTGTCTTCTTCTTCGCTCGACCACACCCATTCACCGGTGATAGTTCGATGCAGTCGTCCCGATGCGCCCGGTTGTCGTTTAGCCGCCTTACTCACCCGGGTCTCCATCGATGGGCCGGATGCCAACAGTGTTTGTGTCAAATACTTGCGATCTTTTGACTTTTTAAAGAACGGATGCTTTAACAGTTCACTCGCCGTTGGCCGTTTCGATGGCTCCTTCTGTAGGCACTCAGCAATCATTTTACGAAATGTTTTACCATAGGCTTTGTATTGATCCTTTTCATCAGCTCCCGTATCAATGGTGGGCGGATCATTTTGTAACGTTAGCATAAGCACTTTCATTGGCGGATATTTATGATATGGAGCTGTACCCGTTGCCATTTCAATTGCTGTTATTCCCGATGACCAAATATCCGCTTTAAAATCATAACCATGATCTTGCTCCATCACCTCTGGCGCCTATTTTACACACGCAACGCACAACATACGAAGCAAGAATAAGAAAAGAGAAAAAGAAAAAAAAAGAAAAAAAGAAAACACTTTAAATACATTTGCAATGCATTATTACTTATTATCATCAAGAGCTACAACAATCCAACCAACAGTCACAGTGTGTGTGCATGGTGTAATTTCTCACGGCCATTGTCATTGCCCCTGATGCAATACACACTACATGTGGTCACACAACATTCACTTTGCGTCATTATTATTATAATAATTACATATAATTTCAGACAGAAAGAGAAACAAACGAAAAGAAAAAAAAATTGGAAAAACAGATCTATGCCATAACGGCATCAAATCGATGTCAGTATTTAATTTCTAGCCTCTCTCTCTCACACACGCGCGCATGCCACGCACGCCAATTGCGTGTATTATTACTCACACTTAAATCAAATCAAATGGAAAATACTATGACCGGATTGGTAGGTTGTAATTAATTTTCATTTCATTCAAACAGAATGGCAACAAAAACAACATAAAAATGATATTTACCATCCAACATGGTGTGCCAACGAATGTGTGTCGAACTTTTTGCCGTGACATATCGCGTCCAGTGGCTAGCCAGGCGCTAACACCAAAATCGGCAATTTGCACCGTACCATCTTCACCAAGTAGAATGTTGCCGGCTTTAATATCACGATGGATTTGTCCATTGCTGTGAAAATACTCCAAACCCTTAAGCACTTCTTTAAGAACGGTTGCAATGGTTGCCTCATCGAAAACACCGTGCTTGCAATTTGTCGTGCGCATTTTATGCTTGATAATATCCAATAAGCTGCCACCCTCAAGCAAACGCAGTACTAGCCATAGTTCGTCTTTTACCACAAAACTGGTATGGTATGTGACGACATTTTCATGGCTGCACGATTGCATTGCTTGGATTTCCTTTAGCAATTCCTCCATTGAGGTGTTCCATTTTTCCAAATTGATACGTTTTATTGCACATTTCTCTTTGCGTGGAATACAATAAGCTGCATGCACAACGGCCGTTGCCCCAACACCAATCACCTCACGCAATTCATAATCGTCAATTTTATTGGGCCACTGTAATGTTGATGATGCTGAACTCTGGAATAACAAAAAATACAGAACGACCAACCGATATTTTCGAGCCAATGTTTTTGCTTTTGTGTTTGTGTGTGTGTTTTTTTGTCATCTTCAATTGTTTCAATTCGAAATTGATTTATTCGTCGATTCTTTTTGTTTGCGTTATTGTTTTTTTGTTATCTAGCCGCTTTATGAATATTTGAACTGAAATCAATGAGTGTGAGCTCGGAAAAGTTTAATGCTTTTCGACGCATTGTTCAATGCATTCTCTTCTTTTTTTCTGTTTGATTTGGTTTTCTCTGTTGTTTTACACGTTGCCGACCGGCTATAAACTTATTAAGCGGATTTGCATGATTTTCATTGTAAAATCTGCAATACAAATTGTATACACACGTCGAATACATTTGTTCATTGTGTAAATGATTCACGAGCAGCATTGATTTTAGTCCAGCGTATATATATCGAGACAGACAGGACAGGAAAATGTATGCATTGCGAATTATTATCATACATTAAGCTGCTACCGATTTCAATACAAAATTACTTCCATTTCATTCATAATTTCAATTGTTCCGGAAAACAAAAAATCTGGTGAATTTTTGTTGAACGACGACGATGAAATTGTAAGCGAAAATGCATATAAGAAGAATGTAATTCATAAGTGATTACATGATCCAATTAAAAACAATTCCAGTCCTATTTTCTCTACGTATACGCCGTATTCAAACGACAAATTTCGAATTGAAACTAATTTAGAATGAAAGAATTACGGATAAAACTAATTGAAATAATGAACCCCATCGATTCCTCAAAACGAAGGAACAAATAAAGAAAAACGTGCGTCATTTTTGCGAGTAAAAAAAGTAGAAAAATGAAAAAGCAAATCAGGTCGAATCCGAATGCAAAAAGAGATTAACATTAGAATGAACACAAAAAAATTCTCGAGGTTCGTTATATTCATTTAGTCCCAGTTACTTTCGATATAAATTATTTAATTGGAACAGGAGAGCTACAGTTGGAATAGTACTCGATGATGGTGCAACTGATGTTGCTGTCGCTGTTGCAGAAGCAATGGTTGTTGTATTTGCATTACTAGCAGACGGCGATAAAGTGCCTGCGGATGATGGGTTTGTAGCGTTTGTCGTCGACATTGTTGCTAATTCACTCGCGTGCGCGTTTATTTTTTGTGTGATTATTCGAAGCGATTTGTTATTGTTGGTGTTGAAACCGTTCGTTTTACGCGTTCATATATGAATCTGGAATCAAAAAATGCACAACAGAAACACAAAATGAATATTAAAAACAAAAATCAACATCAAATAAATAAATTGAAACTTATGAGCAAAATATTTTAGAGCAAATATATTCCGGAATTGATGGAGAGTGTGAGAGAGAGAGAGAGAGACTGAATAAAAACGACCAATATTTATGGGTAAATGCAAGCAGTTCATCAATTATCACTTAATTTAGTCGACTTTGTTCAAGTCGATGTGTATAGAATATGGTTTGGTGTGTCACAACATTCAAGAACACACAACAACAACGACAATGATGAAAAAACTGAATGTGAATAGGCTTGAAATATGTTGCTTATTGAAAGAAGAAAAAAATAGGAGAAGAAGATAACAACAACAACTGAAATAGATGGGTTTTTGAGTACGACTCCGTAAATCACACTTGGATATTACGAAATGATTAAAATCGTCATTAAAATTAACGAATCGCTGTGGCAATATCAACAAGGAACAAACTGAACACCGAAACAGTATTAATAATGATTTTGTATCATCAAATTCATTGTAGTTTGTAGTCGATTAATTGGACACATTAAATGGATGTTGTGCCTTGTATGCGTTTTTCGATTGTTCTTTCCACATCAAATCGAACACACAAAACATTATATAGTCGCGGCCACACACATAAGCAATCTTTTTGCGTTTTCAATGGAAAATTCAGAAACAGCAGCGAGAGAACGATAGGAGGAGAGAGGGGTAAAATGCCGGGATTATCCAGTTGACAATCTTGATTGTGAATCACATGACTCTTGGATGGAAGAGGGAAAAAGAGAAAGACGCACAGAAAAATTAAATCAAACTTATATTAATAACGAACGTGAAAAGCTATACTAACCAGTCCAAATTAGTACGATTTGGAATGAGCAATATTCATATTCTCTTACAATATATATATGATCATTGAATGCTATGTACAACCTTCATTTATGTTTACATAAAAATCGACGTTCGGTCGGCGAATTCTGTATTTGAATCTTCTGGTTTATTCGTCTTCTTGTTCGTGTGCTTTTTTTCTCTGTTTCCTTCGCAAAATGAAGTTTCTCACCCGTGTATAGTAAATATAAATTATTTGTTATTGAAATTGTTTGCACAAGTCATTGTTGCAAACATTTACACGATCCAAATGAAGTTGATCGAAATTCACAAATATGCGTACAAATGCTCTCGAATCGGTTTCGATCCACATCCGAGAAGAGTATGGAATATTGGGCACACAATTTGACCATTGATTGGAACTGTTTCGATGCGCGATGACAAACAAATGGGCGGTAAATGGTTTCGGAAAATCGCATCAAATTGTACAATGTTATCTTAATATGTTATATGTTTCGTATGGATACGAAAATGCCATAAGCCTGTCAATGTATTTCAATCCATGCAATTAGAATCATGCGACAAATAGAGGTTAAAAGGAGAACGGATAACGGACCGAGAAGAAGGTCATATTGGAAAAATTAAGATACAATTCAAATCTGAGTAGTATACTATTCAACTATTGAGTAGTATATTGTTCGAGTTGGAAAATTTGCATGTTTCTTTACATTGATTTTAGAATATAAACGAACGAACGTGCATAATGAATGCATCATAAGTTTACGTTGCGAAACTCCTCGAATCGATACACATTTCACCAAACTCAAAAAGAATCAAAACAATTTCTAGTTACCTAGATTCACCTGACCACAAAATGTCTCAATTAGTTCGAAAATCAATTGCAAATGACAGAAATAAGTCGGTAAACAAAATGTCGAGAAAAAAAACGAAATGATTGAAAAATGAAAATCACAAACTGCAAGCAACAACAAAAAAATCCTCAAAACGAGAATAATGTATTCGGTGTCAAAACTGCGGCGAAACTAAATTATTGTCATATCAGATTTAGAAGTCGTACGTACACAGTATATTCGAGACTTTCTACTTATTTTTGTTTGAATTCTTCGCTCTCTGAATATATATATTCTGAGGTCTGACAGCCGCTAACGTCAAGTTAACGAAACGAGAGTGAGTGAGGTAGTAAGAGAGGAGAGAGAGAGAGAGAGAGAGAGAGAGAGAGAGAGAGAGAGAACAAAAAAAAAGTGTATTCATATGTGTTGTGACGAGCGCTCGCTCGAGCTAGCATACAAATACGTCTGCAATTAAATATTCAATCGCGTACTCGATAGACTAATTTTCGAGTGAATCTATGGCAAAAGAAATGTGGGTGATGAATACTTTACATTTTATATGTCTCTTTAATAAGCCAAAAACGTTATTTTTATTCGATCTTTCATAAGGAAGAGAGAGAACGCGGGAAAGGAAGAGATAGAGACAGCTTGCGAGAGAAAGGGAGGTGTGTGTGAGAGAGAATTTTGTGCATCCAAATACAATTGATTTTTGTTTTTTGATTTAATTTCAACTCGAAGCACATTTCCAGTGAAAAAACCACAGGAAAATGGAAGAGAAAGGGAGAAGCAGAGACATTTCGTAACATTACGCTAGGAGAGACATGTGAGACACATGATCATTGATATCACTCACAAATCCCATATATAAACATATATATATACACATATATGTGTGTTATACGAGTTCGGTGCATACGTATGTTTGACGTGCGTGGACTCTTATGAGTACATGAAAATTTTTACGATACAAGCCAAATCAAATTGGCGCCCAGCTATTTATTTAGCTTGTACATTTGAGCGAAAAAAATAATGTAGAAACAAATCAGAAAAACACAAATCAGACGATAAAATTGATGAAATGCATGGCAACGAAGATGCAGTAGCATCATCATCAGCTACAACAGCAAAAATACAAAACATTTCGCAAAATCTATTAAGTGGATTATTTTCCCTTTGTGTCTCCAGATTTTTTTTTTGTCCGCCTTGACGACGGTGTGTCTTGTGATTGTTTCGGTTGACTCTTGAGTGTGATATAGAGATATTCGTTGGGAAAATTGTGTAACTACACTCTAACGCGTAGAGAAAAAAAAAATACAAACTGTAATCCACATTCGAAATATGTCACATCAATTTCATGTACAAACACATACATTTCACACCAAAAAAGATACCAATTTTTGTTTGTTTGTTCGTGTGTTGTTCTGACATCCAACTATGCATATATGCATGTATACATATATAAATTGCATAACCGAATTTTGTCAAGAGCATAAAATCAATGAAATAAATAGTTCTCAATTCGTGTTTCTGAATACATCCATTTCATTTGATTGAATTTTTGGTGCGAAAATTTGGTGTTGGAATTGGAGAGGGGGATCTGGCTAACGAACTGATTACCATTTTCACATTGACAATTAGCTCCTGATATAGTTGCGAAGCTTATTTCAAACAATTTTATGCATATCCATGTGTTTCCATGTAAAATTATCATATATACGGTGGTTTCTTTCCTTCTCTGTTTGCCACTCTTTTTATTTCGATCTGAACACCGCAGTCTCCCCCTCTCTCTTTCTCTGTCACTCACTCTCCATTCTTCTCTATCCCTCTCTCTCTCTCGCTCTTTTTCTACCCCACTTGGAAATTTTCATATTCTGTGTTTTTTTTTCGTTTTCTGCAAAACGCCAAAATAATTTATGCGTTTAAACCATTTATGCACACATTTGGGCGACAGTTTGTTGTTAAACACAAAAATTTATCTACATTTCATTTTAATTTTTCAAATTGTTCCTTTTTCTATCGTCTCTTTGCCTCTATCTCTCACTCTATGTGTGTCCGTCTGTCTCTGTGTGTCGATATTTGCTCTTTTATGGGTTATGTCTAGATTTGCCTATGAACTTATCACGAAAAAAAAGTATACTATTCAAACAAAAACCAGCTAAAATATTTATTAGAATTTAATCCACTTTTTAAATACTACTCACTGTTGTGTCTCTTTTTCGTCGTTTTCAATTCAATCGATTTGGATTGGACTCTTTACTATACAATTATGTTATAATTTCAATGGTTTTTTTTTTGTATTTCTCTATGCGAGCCGACAATTCGCTATATTTTTTTTTTCTCTTCACTTCTATTCCATATTTATAATGACGTCGACTGTTCCGTGTATATGTTCAGCTGTCAAACATGCACAGTACGGCTGATTCTCCAAGCAATTTTATACGCTGAAGTTGGACATTTAAGCCGGTAGAAAGCGCTTGCATTCATTTGTCAAAAATACTGTGCTATCGACATTTCGGTCGTTATTCTGTTTTTTTTTGTTGCGCTCGATTCTAATTTGAAATTTCGAAATCAATTCAAGGAGTTAGTAGTGATTTTTTTTATTGATATTGCATTAAATGTGCAACATCGGTTGAAAAAAATAAATATAGAATTGATTGTCAAGAGCTAAATTCAACTGATATCGTATTTTTTATTTTCCTATACTCCGCGAGAAAGAAAGGATCGAAATGAAGAAGACAACGATGAATAAAGAGATGGAACAACTGTAAAGAGAAGAAAAAAAAAGAAGATTGAATAAGAAATATTGATGACGACAAAATGGAATATAGAAAATTGACGAAGAAAATCAAATAATTTTCCAAATGGTAAGGCCTGAAAAGTGGGATTCAATTCTATCATGGTTGCATCAACAAACCACTAGAATCGCTGTAATGGTATTGACAATGCATTATAGTCCATAAATATTAAGAGATTGAATCAAGTCAAGCATCGATAAGATGATTTTACCCATGAATTCTATCAAAGAGCTCATAAAAATAGCTGCCTCAACACATCAAACGGTGAAGCATTTTGAAAATCGACCAATTGAAATGTGGCCCGAGCAAAGGGAGCGAATGTCAGTATTTATTTGTAACTATGAACTTTTGTTTGACCGAACATGATTGATATGAGACCAATATTTTCAGTTGGTGGTCTTCCAACTGGACGCGTGTACTGTACACACACGACAACGACGATGATGGAAAAAAAAAACAATAACCACAACTAGAACTAAGTGCAAAATTGAATATTTTGACACTGACAATGCGATTTGTGCTCGCGTTCACATCATTTATATCAAAGGTAACATTCTTGCAATAATGCATCTGTTAAAATCACTTTTAATTTCCGGACCGTAATGAACACACATTTATACCAAAATTTTAGCGTACATTTATTTTAGCTCAACATTTGATATTGTTGTTTGTTGTATTGTTGCATCATTGTGGAAAATGCACAAACTGGGAATTTGTGTGTGTGTGTGTGTCGATAGTGGGATTGTTTTCAAAGCGATTGAACACGCAGACAATGCCCACAATTGTTTGCTATAGATCAAAGTACCAATATACACACACCCCCACGCATAGAGAATGAGTGAGAGAGAGAGAGAAAATGAAAAGGAGTGAGTAAATCCGTTCGGGAAAAGCTTTAGGTGTTTTGAAGCATTTTCGGGATTGGAAACAATACCACCTTTGATTTTGATTCACAAAGCCGCACATCGTGAATGTAGGTAATGAACATTAGTAAGCTCACAGTCTCCTTCTCACACTCTATATGTGTATGTGTGTTGTGTGTGTGTGTGCGCGCGTGTGCGATACTTGTCGAATAAAAACAGGCCATAGCAAATAGTAGATTTTCAATAAACTGATATTGGTTTGTTTATTTATTTTCCTATGAACGCGTATGCTGCTGCTGCTGCTGCTGCTGCTGCTGCTGCTGCTGCTGCTGCTGCTGCTGCTGCT